AGCCATCAAGAAAGCCGCCTAGAGGTAACATAGAACCTCGCAGTTCGAACCTGCATCGCAGCATAATTGAAATTTTATCGAGTGATTTTTTTCACCCAGAAGCTTAGCCTCTATACAAGGCATCGTGAATGATGAGATTAATCTATGGTGATGTCTTTTGAAAGGGTAAGAAGTCTCTATTCTATGCGGAGAGCCAAAAGACATACCCATAACATTCTACAACATTACTGTCACTAGGAGTCGAACCCAGGCGCACGTCCTAAGCAATCCATTACAGCAGATTGGCTATACGCCTTATCTGTGTTTCCGTGTTCCATTTCGTCGACGTTCACTCTCTGATAAGAAAAATTTGATCTCAAAGGACAGAATATTTTAATGGGGAATCGAACCCCTACTCAGTGGGTTTACACAGTATGTCACACCCATCCGAGGAAGATCCACGATTTTCTATCAGGAGGACATTCTTTCCAAGTTCCACCTCTCGCTTTGGAAAATCCCTTCCCTCATCTGCATCTTAGCTATTCACCAAGACGAGGCTCACAAATACATTTCTAACCATTGTCCTTAAATAAAAAGGTGAAAATATGATAATCGCGAAGACTTCCATTACAATCTCCAGCTGAGAATCGAACACATCTTGTGTGGAGGCTTACCGATAAGCCACTAGAGAGCTATTCATTTCGTTTCTATGTATTCGCTGTTGACACATCAGTACATCTTGCTGAGAGTCTACACAAGACTCGGGCTCCTGTATCTTTGCTCCGGATTGGCAAGACCTACGGACTCCCCTATAAAGAATACTCGTCTCCTAAGCAAAAAAGAAGCTGCCAAGTGCGGCAGTATGCGATCGTCTTATTCTCCTGCAGAGAATCGAACCCTACAATATAACATGGTCAAGATACTATTCCAACTAGCTCATTTACTGTTTTGGCTTCAGTCTTCGGGATAAATTTGATGGGGTGGTGAGAGCTGCACATCTCTCTACACCCCGTTTGGGCTGCACAGTTACAATCTTCCGATAGTGTACCCACACTCTTGTGTGAGGACTGGCTTCGACTCACAGCCAGATGCCAATCATGGAGAGCCCACTTCAGGTCTTATTTTTCAACGAAAATAAGCTTTGGACCCGAGAGTGGGGTTCTTTCTGAACCGTGGCCGCTGGAGGGATTGTCTGTAAAAACCTACTTGGTGGATTCAACTATCTCCAACGTCAGATTTTCCAGCGGCGAAACAAATACGAATTTCCCCTAGCTTTGGGACTTCCGGCACTGGGTGTTGAATTTCACCATCATATTTTATTCCCTCCCCATTATCGTCTTTCTGGCCTGTGCAGGAGGATCCGAAATCTGTTCACGCCATCCCTAATAAATTGGAAAACCCTAACTTGCACGAAAGTTTTGTTAAACAAGACGCAAGCTGGAGTATTGACAAACGCGACGTCAACTATACGACTCAGAAGCCGTTATGAATTCATGATCCCAGGTTTCTGGTAGCAGATCGGCTAGACTGCATGCCTGCCATTAGGTTACTCATGTCACGAAATCTGGGTTCGATTCCCAACTAGACACTAAATAGTTGTCTAGCCTGTATAATTTTCTATCTGGCCGTCGAGCCCAAATTTTGTTATAGCGTCTCCATATTAACGTAGTGAAGGCTAGTGATGTATCGTACCACCAGGAAGGTAGCGAGATAGAATCATTCTTACACAAAGATACTCGCTATTACACAGAGGAAGAAAGAAGGAAAGACGATAACACATTTTATTCCAAGCCAATCCGACGGAGGAAGAAGCTGGGGAAGATATTTGTTCAAGATGAGCTCATAACTGGGGCACACTCTGCTTCGTATCAATGCTAAGACAAGGGGTATACAATACGTATTTGATCTTCTAGTTGGCGAAGAACTAAGATGACTCGACTGGTGTCCGTGCTTGAGAACTTCCTGCCTTTCAACGCAGGCGCTAAGAGAGAGCGGGACATGTACGAAATATGATATGGCGGGTCATACACAAAGGGGAGTCTCCCTACACCTATGCTGCACTCACATTAGATTTATATGCAGAAACAATGGACGTAGACTCGCTTGAGATCTTGAATGTTTTGTACAAAGAAAGCCTGGTCCATCCCCGTGCCATACTTTGAGCTGCGCCACGATAAACATGGGGCGTACGGGTATGGCTAGTAGGGAGCGCAAAGACTGGGGAATGAAGCACATTACGTTATTTGTGACTTGGTCCAGGTCGCCGTGGTGAGGATTTTACGTCGAAGTTTTTAGACTCAACCGCCGGACGACTTATATCCGCGTGCGGGATACTGGTGAGGTTCAGCGCAAGTCGCAGCGAGAAAAACTTCTGGTTAGACTCCCGAGTCGCGACTCGCCCCGGAAATTTCTGTCGTAACGGACCGGTAGTCGCCTCGGTGAACGCCGTCAAGTGCAGCACTTATCTTCTGCAAACGTGATAGAGAGCAAAGGCAGGTGGTATTTCCACAGGTGTTGTCGGACACCAAGAATCGCCGAAGAGCGAAAAAGGACGAGCATGTGGTTAGATGGGAGGACCAATTCGGCATCGATAGCACTAATGGAGGGGGCCGTATGGCGTACAACGTAAGAAGGCTTTAAGGTTTGCTTTATCTTCCTTGTCGTTCACGTCGATTCTCGTCGTCCTATACTGGGATACCACAGCAAAACTCGCTACCTAGTAGTTATCCTGTCAATTCTGAGAAAAGACACCCGTCCACAGTATATTTTACATCTCGATTGCAAGATCAACTCGAGCATCGATGATTCACTGCACTCCTTCTGGATGATGGGACCTCGCATCTGACTGGTTGCTAAGTATATATATTCCATTGTTCAAGTCTTCAGGTCTGTTATCTAACAGTCATGACGGACTCTCTTCGGGCCCATGGCCACGATTCAAGCGAAAAGAGCCATCACAGCATCGAACTCGCTGCACCGTTGGCAAGGTGGGTATGGCTCAAGATGGATTTGATTCTAATGCCGGTCATAGCAATGTGGTACTTCTTGTCGTTCCTGGTATGTCATCCATTATCTTTTTGACTTCCAGAATAACTGAAATCCGTGGCAGGATAGAACGAACATTGGCAATGCTCGTGTTGCAGGCCTTCAACGTGAGCTGCAGATGACGGACAAGCAGTTCAGCATTGCATTGATCGTTACCTATGTTTCCAACATTGCTGCTGAATTACCTTCGAATTTGTTACTCCGAGTATGTCAATTAACATCTTCCACCTTCTCGAGCTTATTTCCGCCTATCCAGGTCATTGGGCCGAACTATCTCCTTCCCACCTTACTGATCGGCTGGGGCTTGGCCACAACTCTTCAAGGAGTAGTGAAGAGCTACGGCGGCCTCCTTGTCTGCCGGTTCTTCCTCGGGGTCTTTGAAGGTGGTGCCCTCCCCGGAGTGGTGCTATACTTGACGCATTTCTACCCTCGTACCAAGATGACCACCCATGTATCAGCCATCTTTGCAACTAGCTCACTTTCGGGGGCGTTCTCGGGAATCCTTGCCTATGCTATCATACAAATGGATGGTATCGGTGGACGTTCGGGGTGGCGATGGATATTCATCCTCGAAGGTGCATTTAGCGTCGCTTTTGGATTGATATGCTACTTTATCATGCCTCGGGATGCTATGGCTGCTCGGTTTTTGCGTCCAGCTGAACGCGACTACGTGGCGAGTCATGTTGCCGAGTCTGGAGGGGAGAAGTTCGAGTGGAGAGAAGTGAGAAGGGCACTGGTCACGCCGCACGTTTGGATCATTAGTATGACATTATTCTTTTCGGGCTCCGTCCTTTTTGGCTTGGCCTTGTACGCATTATCCTTCTCGTCTCAGTCTGATCTCAAGTGCCCTGACTTTTACAATTCATAGCTTTGAACCATCAATTGTCCAGAGTTTAGGGTACACTGACGCCCGCTCGCAGCTCATGAGCGTGCCGCCATTTGCTGTCGCCTTTGCACTGTCGATGTCGTCGTCCTACCTATGCGACAAGTTCCATATTCGAGGCCTCGTCTGTATCGTGACTTCCACCATCACCTTGATAGGATTTATCATATTCCTTACCTCGTCGTCCTTAAACACTCGGTATGGAAGTCTCTTTCTGACCATACCCGGTGTGTATACTTGTACTCCGACATTGGGGACATGGAACTCGACCAATTCGGCTCCGCACGTTCGTCGTGCGACTGCCATTGCTGTCGGGTTTATGGTAGCAAGCGTTGGAGGAATAGTGTCGACGTGGTTGATGGGGGACTTGAGCACGGCGCCGCGGTACATACTTGGGACCAAGGTGATGGTTGGGTTTAGTGTTGGGATGATTGTCGGGTCGGCGTTATGCTTGGTACATTTCGTGCGGATGAATGTAAGGAAAAGGAAAATAAAGGGGCAAGAAGTCGAAGGGGTGGATGGAGATTCGGCTCCATCGTTTGTGTATCTGTTATGATGGTAAGTGTTTCCCTCTTTTCATACGGATTGCGCGGTGATCATGACGTACCCTTTAGGTCGTAGCATGTATCCCCGAGTGAAATGATATTCGTTCCAGCCTGACAGGAAAAGTAGCGGGATGCCTTTCTCCAGACATATCGGGATGTTCGAACCACTGGCCACTTCCGTTGAAGCAAGCGAGACCTCATATCCAACATTTGTCAAGCTATCTCTTCCAAGTATGAAGGTGAGTTCGAAGCCACACCCTTGAGCAGCCGCGAGGTAAATTCTTCCATATCAGCACACCAAAAACATCGTCGGAGCTGTAAGAATCGACGATTTTGATGTTAATTTTAGACTCCTAACGTTTAGCGAACTCGCAGTCCTATTCTGTGAAGATATCAACATCTCCGTCTGGTCGAAAGGCGCCTAGAAGTCATAACTGTCTTTAGAAGTCAGAAAATCAGTGAAGCTCCAAGAATCCAGGATTCCCCTGTCAATGCGCCTCCAAAAATGGGCAATACTACCCCAAAAATTGTTTCTGGTGTTCCCTCGACTCCCTGGCTGGGAGTCGAACCCAACCTACACGCAGAGAACTATGTTCCATCATTATTCTGACAAGAGTGCGTACTAACCAATATACTACCAGAGACTTATTATTAGGTTAGGCAAGCGTGAAACTCATTCCGAGTCAAATACTGACGGACCGTCGATTTACACCCGCCATCACACGCCTCGTGTTTCTCTGGCAGGTGGGCTCGTAACCCTTCCATCACTGCGTCTCATTAATACCAGCCGGAAGCGGTACCACAAGTTCACATACAGTGAGCCATACCACTCTTCTCCAGTCATAAATGGGCAGCACACTTTCCCATGCGTCCCTTCCTGTTCATCTTGGCATTCCGGCTTCTTCGCTGGTGGTACAAGATGTGGAATCGACCGAATGTTTCCTTTTGTTCTTCGATTTTCGACTCTTTGCGATGCTCCATTTCCCCTCGTTTGTCAGGCATGCGATTCACATGGATTGGACCATTCTTACGTACCCAAGCACTCGCCTGAGGTCCTCGCTCAGATTATTAGATCCAAGTTAGGTAGCATGCACTGGAAAGGTGCCACTGTAAAAAGAAACAGTCTCTAAAATTCCTTGACAACCGTTGAGCTCATTCCTCGCATTTACGCCAACGCTTTGCTCACGCTCACCTATGTTTGGGGTAGACTTTGAATAACAAGTCTCTAGTATATTGGCTAATCTTGAAACGTGGGTTCGACTCCCAGCTGGAGATTCACGCGCCTCTATGCAGGATTCTAACTGCAAATTTTTTGACTTCTCGAGACGTCATGCATTGCGCACTCTCATCGGAATCCAAAGTCACGAACTCAGCCCAGCAAATATGAATTCTTCCGGTGAGGGGAAAGTTAACTATGGATGCATCTGCATAGTGTCTTGGTTCAATTTCTAGCCAAGTTATATGCCTCTGCATTGCGGTCTCTGATCTGATCGTGTAGGGGTAACGCGTAATGAACGAATGTATTGTGTATGATACTTCGTCTCTACCGTTGAGAATAGTTACACCTGCAGCTAAATTAGATATACGTGCGCATGCGGTGTAAAGAGACGTGCCTCGTTTCTCGTTCCCCATGTCGAGCATTGTCTTCATCGTACCGAGGATCATCAGTCTGTCCTGCCAAAGTCGCCTGTTCCATTCTCTACACCATATTTTGCGGGAGTTGATTCCAACAAGTCTGATAACAGAAATGGAGCGTACGACTCCACAAGCAGGAGGTACAGAAATGCTTGGAAATGGAGTACATCAAGGGATCGAATGAAAGCGTGGGTGCAGGCCGACATGCTGACGATCTTTCCGTGGAAGATTCTAGGATCTACCGCCAGCCATCTCGTTTCGCTGAGGCGGTTGAGCATGCAAACGAGCTATTCCACGCGGAAGGTGATGCCGTTTAGAAGTGGACCTTCTCCAGCTAAAAGTGTCGCTCGAATGGAAACATTGTCCAGGACATGGAAGAATCCTATGACGAATCAGCTCCACAACTACGTTGCATGCGATTTACGTAGACATACCTCCGATGATGGCATGTAGTTCCTCCGACAAACGTCGTCTCATCGATTGCCAGATCACTGCTAACGGCTGCAGTCTCTGGTCGGGCGACAACTATCATTGGCATGATCGTCTCGTAGATCGGGGCCCAAAGGTGGGAGGAAAGGGGCGGATCGAAGGATTGGGAGAAGCTCCAGCGCGATGACACGGCCCGCGTTGAAGGCTTGGTGCAACTCGACGAGGTATTCTTTACTGGAGCTTTCTGTCAGCGTGTCGACCTGCGCATTCGTCAGTTTAGAAATCTGGGATCTTGGTAAAGTATTCCCAGGACTACTGACACGCACTCTGGATGAACCAAGGAGGAGCAAAGGGTTGTTATGTCTAGGCCTAGAGGATGTCAATACAAAGAAATCAGAAAGAAGGCTGCCGTACATTCGGAATGCAAGGTTGGGAATTGTCCGTCCCTATTGCACTCGCATTAGATCTACATGCATGCACAATAGAAATACACTTGCCTGTGATCGATTGATCCTTGATATATGATATACCGTCTTCATCTTGCTGAAGATCTTCGATCTGCCTTAGCCCGGTCCATCCTCCAGAGCCGACGCTTCCGCACGATGTCAGAAACAAGACATCCAGCTATATACAATAGGGTGCGCCAAGGCGCGCCGGCAGAGAAACGAAAGTTTTAAGAGTCCAATACTCGGTGCGTGTCGCAGGATATTTTTTGTTAAGGCCTTCCATGAGCGCGTCGGCCGTTGGTGCGAGCGATACAAGAGGGGATTTCGTCAAAATGGAGTCGATATGGGATGTTGATAGCTCAGTGTAGCTGGGCTAAAGCGTCCTGAGGTGCAGAATTGTGACAACCTGTGGGTTTTCAGAAAAAGAAAGAGACCAAAGAGCAAGGTGCGGACCATAATCCATGCTCATGATAACTCATCTCCTCGATAAACGACTTTCCAGGTTCTTAAGGCGTTCAAGTATCGATAAATGCTAGTGCTGGCTGCTCCTCGACGACATGTGAATAGACTCCCGCATAGAAAACAATTAGTGTGAGTGTCACTGGTGACTGTGTAGAGAAAGTTAGCTTTGTCATCCGGCATGCGGGCCGCCGATTCCGGTCCTTCCTCCTACGCTGACACAACCTTCTCCGGATGTTTGCCATCATCTGCACCCGCTTCCCCGGTACTTTGCTGTTGCGCATACTTTTTCTCATCTAAAGGTTCCCAAGCAGGTGGCCCTGGTCCGTGTATTATGATACTGATTGACTCGTCGCAGTCACTTAAAGCGTCTGTCGAGTCATGTTCGTCCGACGGCTTGACGGTGTCTCTCGGTGAAGAACTAAAGGGATGGGATGGTCTTAGCTTCACGTGCCCTACTCTTGCGCTCGATGGAGACGCCCCCTCGTTCCATTCTTTTCCCACTATGGTGCTCATTCTATTTCTTTTGTACAGTTCACTGTTCTACAGCGGATCACATGCACGACGTTTATTGATTCTATTACCAGATCAAAGCCCGCTGACCTTCTGTTCCTTGCTTTTTATTCTTGAACCTTCAGTTCAATGGTGAGCAATGTATACACTCCGTCGGATAATCCCACTCCTGAACAATTACCCAGATATCTCTGAAAATAATAAACCCAACAAAAAAGTGCTCCACCCGTCCTGTCCCGTGATTTTGTCTTTGTTCCCACATCATTTCTCCTGAGAACCTGTCGCCCTTCCAGTTTTCTAGTTCAGTCTGCCTCTCCATCACACGATTGTCACGAAGGAATCACTGTCATGCTTTCCCAAACTTTATCATACCATCATCACAAGTTTGGGACTCTATTCACCGCCCTTCCTATCCTAATATCAGGACTTGCAAGCTTCCCTTTCCTAAGAGAAGACTGCCTCCCCTACGTCGTGATTACCAATAGCACCATCTCGTCGACTTCCTCTCAGAGTGCTGGCGAGACCTGTAGGCCCCTCTTCTTTACATTCTTCGTTCCAACCACCTGGGTATCTTGTTTTCTATCCCGAATAGCTATCCCTGCTTTCTCCAATGGACGATAGCTGTATTGAAATCACTCCTGAAAGAATTAGGGATTCATAAGAACAGTGTCGCTCTCCCTGAACCTCGAAAGAAGTTCAAATTCTTTCGTCTGGTCCGCGTTCATCCATCCCTGAATCTCGCCTTCTAATATTCCCGGTCTTCTCCTACGGTCTGTTAGATGTATCTTACCTTCTTCTCTTTCACATTAAATTCCCAAGAACGAAACCTTGACTCCGCCATGGTCACGGCGAACGTCATCAAGTCGTCAATTTAGGATAACATTGTACTTTACTCACGGCTCTTTCACATCTACCATTTATTTCGCAACGGGTCCTTCATCCTCAGCTGGAACCTTTGCAACCCGCTCCATTCTGATCCCTCGGAGATTTCTGATTCCCGATCGTGTGAATGAATGTCAGCTACTCTAGATCATTATGATTGACTATCAACAGAGCACCATAGCGTCGAATGTTCTAGCGTTTAATCTATTTGCGAGACCTCGAAGCCGCCGGTATCGCCTTGATCGCTAGGCAAACGATGCTAGGCTCTGGCCATTTATCTGATCAGCTAGGCTTCTTGTTTCGCATGCATTTCATTCGACATTACTTACTCCTTTTCCGGTACATTAAACTTCAAGTTATTAGTCGACCGGATGTATACATTCCTTCGGTGCTCAGTGGAACGCGCCCACATATTCTTTCGGGACCTTCAAGTGAACAGATGCGTTGCCTCTGCCAATCGCTGAGAGGTGCTGCTTTCTGCTTCTGACCTACACACGCGTGCAAAGGACGTGATTTATGGGGACCACAGATGCGTTAATTGGAGAATTTGTTCTAAAACCGATGTGGTCGTATTCCATAACGATAACAGTTGAGTGGCCGTTCTTAGGGTTCGACTCCCCTGAAAAGTGGAGGATCAGTGGTGGATGAAAATCACTTTTGTTTCGGGTATACGTATGATGATTTCGCATGAACAAGTGCTCTAGGAGTATTTAGCAGTTCTAATAGCACATCTATTCGTACTGAGCTCTCCCCGTTTTACTTGTTAATGCACAAAATGGACTGCGGTAATCTATTACCAAGCCCTGATGGTCAATTCATCGATACGAACATGACTGGGTTCAAATCCCGGACAGAGCTCTCCTAGGGATGTAGTATGATTTGTTTTTCCTTTTAACGTAAGGCTGAGTCCTTGAGAAGGCTTCTAATATTCAAGTTTGCATGTCAAGGCCTCCATGTCACCGTCCGCAAGTGGAAGCATGAGATGGTCTTTCAGGACTTCTCATTGCACGCGCCGTTCTGTGACTCACTCTCAAGCTCGCCTCTCTGTGGAGCATTGCCTCCCTTCGCAGAGGCTCGACTATTGAGCATGCATACCTTTCATATATTGGTTATACTAGCTACAATCTCAGACTGGATTCAACACCCGAGTATATGATGGTCAAGACCATTATCGTGTTCTACTATTTTTTCAGTCCGCCGGCTCTGTCTAGCTTCAAACGCCGAAATACGAATCAAGGTGAGGTCAAGCTGGAATCACTCTTACCCACAGAGCTTCCGCA